TGACAGGGCACAAAGAGAAGATGATTGGGGTTTTAAAAGTCTTCAGAGAGAGAATGAATGAGGATGTCAAAGATAAAAAAGTGCTTTGATGGAGAAATTCACCAAAACTATAGAGTAACCTGAAACACATCATCCAGAATTAAACAATAGTCAGTCTATAGAAACATATATAACTAAAAATATTTGAGTGAGGAGAAAATATGAATCCATGCAGAGTTCAATGAATGAAGAATAGCAAAAAGGTAATAGGAAAACTGATCAATAAGTCAACTTTATACTTAAAGTTAAGTAAAGGCATTCAGAATAAAAAAATAAATATATATAAGTCTTTAAGTAACTCAGCCTTATGTTTGAGTTAGAACCACCACAGAGCTACAGGTTTTTCCACTGCACTTTGGTATTTCCTCCTTTTAATCAGAGGAAACCTGAGCTGTAGCTGGGAAAGATAACACCTGGACACTGACAGAAAATAGAAAACACGTTAGATTGTAATGATTAGATTTGATTTGGTTACATTGAGTGAATCTTCTCAACAGATCGCCTAAAAAGTACAAAAGAATAAATTCACTGAAGTATGAATTAAAGGTGTCAGCCAAAGAAAACAAATCTATGTTGTATCTGATCGAGACTTGTATCCTTGATCAGATATAAGACCAGAAATCCCACCAGCTCTGGGACTCTTTAAGCCCGCAGCTATAACTGAACTCTGACTGGGCTGGTTTTAAACACGAACTGAAGCGATGTTTTAAAACAAAGCAGTTGTGTGATTATTAATGAGTTGGAGAACACCTGCTTTTGTATAATGTGAACACTATAATGTACATGGGTTCTTAATTGTGTTAAAAGCCCTTCTAGCTTTTAACACAGCTTTTTTTCACTTGTTGATTGTGTACACGTGTCCCTATCAAATAAATAAATAAATCGATAAATAAATCGTCACGAGAATTCATTTCATTCAAAAAACACATGTCCATATACTTTATATAGTGACTTTAGAAGATAAACACTGTGTATATTGTGGAATTAAATTATAAAAATGAATGCATTATAACCTATATATGAAAATATATATTTTTATATGCTATAAATAAATATTATACAAGAAAAGCTTGGTGTTGGAATTGGTGTTGGGCATCGGTAATTAAAGAATAAAAGACTTTCACACTGGTGTCGGAGCACCCCCACAATACATTTTTGACTCACTCACTGTTTCTATTCCATTCAAAATAATTTATCGGCGCAAAAAAATAATGAAAGGCCCATTAAATAAATCCACGTAGTCCAACAGAATCGCTGATTGAGGCCATTCTAGTCAATGATCCACAACTTCAGACAAACTTCAGACGTAGGTTTTTTTGGTTTGGGGAAATTTCGAGAGACACTGAATTTTTTTTTTTCAGATGCAAGATGTCCCACGAAAACAATCTCACTCTTTCTTCTCGTAAATGATGACGTCTCCGGACACAACACTCCACTGTCTCTGTCAAAGTCCTGATCTGTGGATGGAAACATTTCACTCACGCTGTTCACATTTGCTTCACCCTTTGGCTCCCACCCAGATCTCTGCACAATACAAGACTAATGGACATCTCCAACACAAGTCAAGGCCATGAATGTCCCCGCTGTTAAACTACTCTGCAAGTGTCTCTCAGTCTATATTTATAAGTTATTCCATTTGATTTGTATTTATCCACACCATTACTATAACGTGACAGACAGTATTGTGACCCATTCCCTTTGTGTCGCTTATATCACTTACTGTATGTCAAACACGCCATCCTGGGATCAATTTATCTGGATATGCTCATGCTATAGGTTTGTGTATATGCAAAAATGAATAATACCTGATGCGTTACTACAGACACTGCACTTTTTGGTTAATCCCTTTTGTTAGACTCTTAAAAGTTAGGCCTTTTTTGTTACATTAGTTTGTTGTTTTGGCACTCCTCCCACCACTGTTATAACTTTTGTTTGGCTTTTATAATAAAGACATTGCCAAACCTTATGAACGTCTTATGACTTGTTTGTGTTGGTCATAATAATACCTCTTAATATTGATGACAATTTATTTTTTTCAATATCAAGCACATAAATCAACATAATACAGCTAGACTAAAGACATATTCATCAATTGTTAGTATTATTGATCTTGTTTTGAGAGCGCCTTATATTGCTTCTGTATTTAAATAGCATGAGATGAGATTTCCTCACTGATGTTATGTCTCAAAGCACTCTCACCTCATCTCATAATACCTTAATTCAGGGATTCCCAAAATGGGGGGCGCAGAGTAATTACAGGGGCACGGTACGAATGAATGAACAAAAATACAGAAGGCTAAAATGACACTGCAAGCATAAGATGGACACATTTTTGACAAATTACAATCTGCTGTTAGGGCTGATATAATTATGTTACATTTATATTAATAACAATGTGTGAATTAAACTGCAATGGACTCTGAAAAAAATTGAGAACAAACTTTGGGACTTTATTTTTGTATTAATAACGAAAATGCTATCCATGTCCATGTAGTGCATTGGGATATACGTCCTTTTGAAGAATAAGTAGCGCAGGTTTGTGCTGGCCTGACATTATATTTTAGATCGAGTTTTGATGAAACAAGGAAGAGAATGTGTTTCGGGTCTCAGATTGTGACCAATCACAGCGGACCACTGGCCCCCGCTTTCGTGAGAAATCTACAGGTCTCTGCTAGCACAGACGGCTGAGTTAGCACAACAAGCAGCGGAGCTAACCTGAAACTTTCTCGTCTTCGTCACCGGTTACTGCTTACACAGCGAGACAGCCATTCAAAAGAAAGTCCCTTTCCGCCGCGCTTCCCGGTTCTATCATTCTATGGTCACGCCATCCACGTGCAAATCCATATATCCATAATATCCATATTGGAAGACGCTTTCTGCTCCCCTCCCCTATGGGTGCGGGGAGGGGAGCAGAAAGAGCGAGGCCAGTGAGTCCGCTGCTTCAAAATCCCAAAGTCAGTTAGTGCAGCTTTAAGTATTTATGCTTGTAATGTAAAATGGATGAGAGGTTATTTGTCCTGGTACACAAGAATGTGACACTTTCTGAATGGAGTTTGCATGTTCTCCTCATGTCTGCACTGGTGAACGCTTCAGTTTCCTCTGGACCTCCAAAATCATATTAGACGAACCATACTCCACCGTATTCAAATCTATAATGATGAATAACGAACCTCAAAATCAGACTAGTCATAACATTGTATTTTATCTCATAATTACTCCCAATCGACTTTCTATCCTTTGACAGAGAAAGTACATCTGCTCCACAGCCTGATGTCAGTTTGGCTCGTGTTGGAGTCAGGAACAATCAGACAGTATTCAGAGCAGCAGCGAAGAGAAAGGGGCATTATTGAACAAGTAATTTAAGGATCCGCTGTTTTTCTGTTGCCATGGTCTCTGTTTTTGATGTAAACACACACACGCCCAAAATCAGAGAGAAAGTTGGGTGCAGGACCATGTGGGCTGAGTTTCACTGTGGCACTTGATTCACATGCAACTCGAGATGTGGGCATAGAGCAAATGACAAAATATGAACTATTTCCAAACTGTTTTAATGATAGAAAACACCATAATTTAAGTAATTCATGAAGAGCACAGTGTCGTACAAACTGCATGTGGAAGCAAGATCCCATGGACCTCTGAAGCTAAGCAGGGCAGGGCCTGGTTAGCACTGTGATGCCACACTAGGGCGGCTGCGGCTGTAAAGTGCCAAAGTGTTGTTGTACCCTTATTCAAAAACCTTCACCCACATTGCCTAGAATGAGTCTGGTGAGGGGCCGATGGCACAGACTGGTTGACTCACTTCTGTCAATGTGCCCCAGGGCAGCTGTGGCCACAATAGAAGTTTATCATCATCGTGTTCAGAGTGAAAGAATAATGACATGTGAAGCGTCTGTTACTGCTAATTTACACATCACGCGTTACAGCACGTACGCGTTATACGCGCAGCAGACGCGCGTAACTTTTTTCCATGTTAACCTATGATGATATTTACACTTCTAGCGTTATACGCGCGTATGACGGACATGTGACGCGAAGCTGCGCTCTAATTTAGGATGGATTTCTAATTTTGTGCGCGCACCAACGCGTGTCCCATTGAAATCTCATGTAAAACTTTATTTTTCTAGCGGTCCTTGGCTTTAGATCACATCTGCACGCACACTGCACTTGTGTCTAAACATCAGCAGGAGGAGCAGCAGGTTTTACAGTGATTCTGGACATCGTTTTTTTTCTTTCATAAAGTCTCGCGTCTGGACAAACCAGCGCACAGAGACCATGAAGACAAACACATGCATGTGATTTGTGTTGCTCTACATCAGTCCTCTGGCTCGTACTGTCCTCTACACTGCTCCATAGACTACACAGGGAGAGCATCAGAAGCCGCGGACCTGCGCGCACGGTCAGTGTAGATACTCCAAAAAAATGTTACGCGCAGAGAGCGCGCAGTAAACGCGTACGCGCTGTTTACGCCTACTGTGTAAATCCCCCGTAAGTGTCCATAAAAGCGCTAAATAAAATCGATGGATTATTATCTTCATATAATCTGAAATTGCAAAGCAGTAGGAAATAAATAAATCCTTTGCAATTCACTTATATGGTCAAATATATATTATTTTAGAGTGCAGTCATATCACATGGTTGTTAGGAAAACAATTTGTCTTGAACGTGACAATCTTATAATGTGCAACTTCAAATCAATCAGAACAAACATTTTGCAGTATTTGTGTTCAGTTAAGTTCAGGGAAATAGGCAACAGATGCAAATATTTACAAAAGTGTGCCCTCAATTATATAATGTTCATGTTCATTAATTTTATTCAAATATAAGAATGTAACTTTCCACTGTTACCACTAAATGGGGGTGTTTCACTACTACTTCCATGACATAAGAATAAGGAATAATATTACACAAATAATGCATAATGTGGTCTTCTTTAATGGGTGAGTTGTTGGTTGTGTGTTTACCAGTGAGTCTGGTTCTGTGTAGGGGCTGATCTTCCCGTCGTCGCTCACTGTTGGAGACCAAACTCTGTCTCCGGATCCCGACCTGAAACAAAACAAAAATGTATTACTTTACCCAAAAATCCAACTTTACTTTAACATCTTGAGTCTACCATGCCTCCATCTATCATTTTGTAGATGGGAAAGAGACCAAAAATACATGGATTGAAAAAAAAAGAACAACACTTTTTTGAGAGTGAGGAAGTAAATTGTGTTTTAAATCTGATATTGTTAAGCTAATTTTTCTTAATTGGTACAGCATTTTTACATACAGTTCAGACTAAACTCTCACATCAACAATTGCATCAACAATTGCTGCAGTCGACACGCAATACCTATTTGTTAACTAAAAGGGGAATAAAAGGAGTGAAAAAAAACATTATATTTTATTATGTACTGTATCTGTGGATGCAACTGTCTATCTACAGATGGAGCTTTCGCGAAAGTTCACCGTGGTAGACCCGGCTGCTGCTGCCAGGCCACAGGCTGCTCTTCCTCGACTCATCAATACCAGCAACGCCCACACCCAGTCAACCAATAACCACCAGGACAGCAAGTTAAAAGCCGGAGACGCCCACTTCCCGGTCTTCTGAAGTCTGCAAGCCGCCGCCGCCCCACCTCCTCCTTCTCTCATGAAGCGTGCTTGCCTACTGCCTCTGCCGTCACCAGTGCCTAGGCCCCGGGGGGATCATGCACGCGAGCAAGCGCCGTGCTCAACAGCATCCCGCCCGGGCCTAGGGCGCCAAAACATGCTCAATCAATAAACATGCTTAAATCTAATAAATCTAATGCGTTTCCTCATGGGTCTCTCCAAGGTGAATTATCTATATTCTACAAACTAATGTTGTAGTACAGTATATAAATATTCATATGATCATATATACAATCATTAGTCCACTACTGAAAATAGCCCTATGAGGAAGCACTATTCATTGTTGTGTGTGTGACTCAACACATTCATCACCCTTCATAAGAAATGTGTAACGTTAAGCTCTCAGACTCCTGTAACAGTGAGCAGGCACCAAAGCTGCTTTTCATTTAAATGATAGAACTATCGCCAACACTTCATACTTCACTAAGAGCTGTCATGTATAATTTTATCCTAGGATTACGTTGATAACTGCATTCCTCTTGTCTCAATCTGTCTCTCTTCTCTTTCGATTAACAGTCTAGGTATTTTCCCAGCATGAATAATGTGAATGTTGAAAGTTAAAACACTTTCACTTTTGTAATGTGCTGAGATGGGTCGGACTGAAACTAAAAACTACATTTGATATCATGTGACAACAGGAATGCTCTGACTGGGTTGGAGTTCATTTTTCAGGCTTTAAACTCCTGCATTACTGGATTAGTCTTGTCTTGGAAAGGCTGAGGCTGATACAATATCAACATCATTACTGTGAGAACAAAAATATCTTCAAAGGCTTCTATTTGTCACAGATAAACTTTCATCTGCAAGGGCACTGTTCGTCCATGATTGTGAATTAACTTCTTTTCAAACACATTCTTGTGGTGTTAAGTTAAGCATTAGTAATAAGGGTTCCCCCACCAGTCTAAAAACAGTGTCAATTAAAGTATATCAGTGTTGTCAAGGTATTCAAATGTAAAAACTTTTTATATGAATAGAAAATGCATTACTCTATACCAGATTCCATATCACAGAGATGATTTAAAAAGGTAATTTATTTTGGACAATAAGCTGCATTTTTAACATTAACTTAAACACACACACACACACACCCTCTTAATGCCACTACATTTTATACTAGTTCTGCGACAGACCAAAATCATGTATACTCTGCCTTTTTTCAAGATATGTTATTAAATGATTAAATGATGATGTAGTTGTGTCATAGTATAGATTTAATACTATCCATCCATCCATTTTCTTCCCTTTAATCCATTTCTGGGTCAGGGGGGTGGCAGTCAGAGATGCCACCCAAGTCTCATAGCACCAGCCCCTCACTGACCCTCTGCAGGTGGTGAGTCCACAGGAGGACGGCTGCTCTCTGACTGTGAGCATAGCCTTGATTTTTCAGTGGGGGCTTTGGGCAAAGTGGGGTTAAGTGTCTTGCCCAAGGACACAACGACAGCAGTCATCAGTGGGAGTCGGTGGAGAAGGTGTGGAGGTGGGAAATGAACCCACGACCTTCAGGCCTGAAGGCCAGTGCTCTACCAACTGAGCTACTGTCGCCCCTGTCGATTTAATACTAATCTAATCTTAATTTAAGTAATTTTTGGGACTTTTTCACAGCCCTAGAGATGAGTAAGATTGGACCACTGCAAAACATTTTAAAATCCTGTTTACAACCTCGGTAAGATCGTAATCTTCAGGTGTTCAAATTATTTTCACTTGCCAAGATTTTATAACTCATATACTACACTCTGGACACAAGTGAAAAAATGTGCTTCCAGAAATTCAACATAATAGACCTTGATGCAATGCTACTACGATAATAATGAAAGAATAAAGTTGGATATTGCAGAAATATACTAGAAAGTAACTAAATGCCAATATTGTAAGAAGATACACATTCCAAACATATGTTGTACCATTCATCATTTTGTGAACAATAAAATAGTTCTACTTTCCCACACAGTGACCAATTTCATTGACATTAAACACGATGTTTTTCACCTCTCACAGTTACAGTCTGCATTTTTCACCTCTCAGGGCCTGAGGGAGGGGGGGGGACTGTGGTCTCCATGGAACTGAATGCAGCTTTCGAAGGCATCCAGCTCCAAACAAAGTGGGCCGCACGATGCCAAGAGCAGAGGACAATGTGGGCGCACTCCAATTGACCTGCTCTTCCTGCATTCACTCTCACCACAGGCATAAAACTATTGACCACGACAGAAAGCTCCAGGCCAGAGCTGCTGATAGTCTGAAAAATCACAATGAATGAAAATAGCGTCACATGTGGCACTGATTGTGGTCTGTTTTGGCTGTAGAGGCCGAAGCAGTTCTGGCAAAATATCTGATGATTTATGGTTTTATAATGGATTCTCTTCTAAGTGCAACATTTGTACTGAGGTCCTAAGAGGAAAAGTGGGAAAATGTGAGAGCAAGGAAAAAAATAAATAAGTGAAGGTATTGTGCGCTGGTGGGTTGCCAGTCTTTTGTTGGCTTGTGTCCCAGGACTCCCTTAATTTGTGAAGGAAAAAACAGCATAATTAATCAAAAAGACATGTTTGCTATTGTCTCAATGGGTGTGCAGGTTTCGGACGTTATAAGATGTTGTTGTTCTCAGAGAAATTTCCATAATTTCAGCCACAAAAATAAGGATTTCTATTGCAATAAATCCAAAAGTATTTAAACCTAGGGTAAATTTCCCAAAATCACAAAAATATAAAATATAATTACAACCCAGTTTTGTTCTATTCTCACATACCTGTACCTATTTACCTCGGTTAGAGCTTTTTCAGGGTAAAGGGAAAAATAGAGGTCAGCTCCCACCACACAAGACTTGATCACAAAATTTTACTTTTACAAGGCGCTTCCAAACAAAATTGTATGGGGAAAAAATGTTGGTATCTCAGCTTTCAGTCAAGAATGGATACTAACTTTAATAGGAATAGTTCTCTCATTCTTTTGATCTTGGCCATGCTTCAGATTTGACCAATGGAGGTGTTGCTATAAAGGCTTTTTCTCTGAGGCGCCAAGTGTCTGCGAACAGGCAACAGTCTCTGCGTGGGATGGACAGTAACCCCCCCCTTAACCTCTTCCCCTCACTGTCTCCACTGTCCTGGGACACAAGGCCTTCATGTTGTGCAGGCGTCCATGGAAACGCAATCTTCATACAAATGCATTATTGACATCAGAGACAGGCATAAGAGACAAAAGCAGGGACAGAATGGCACAAGAGGAAATTTTGAGTGCAGCAGTTTCAATGGGTGCTTTGGGAATGGGGAAATGTTGTTATGAATGTGCTAATAATGGTGGAACTCAGCTATTGGTTAATTAGTTAAAAGTCTACTTGGTACAATAGTAAAAGTACAATATAAACCACAAAAAAGAAAAACTCACTTTAATGGATTTTTATATTCTATCTGGTGATCTTATAAATTGTCCATGATATGCATACTGCTACAGTTTGCCATATCATGTATTGGAATATGCAGTCTGGTACAGATGACCAGTGAAAAATAATTAGGTCTGAAAGAATTGACCAATATAAGATCAAAGAATAATGTTCTATGACATCACTGAATCAAAATGATCATGGCCGTGCTTTATGTGGAAACACTGGTGTCCATTTATTCCACATGTTATTGGTTGAGTGTGACCTCCAGCCACCAATTGATTTTCAAACAAGAATTGAACACTTATGTGATAAATAACGACAAAAAAGTGTATTTTTTCATTGTTTTCATGTCAAATCAGTGATGAAGTCAATAATTCCCTTGACTGACGTGTTCGAGTTGATGCAGAGGCATGACAACAGATCTCCAAGTTTTAACATCTGTATTTAATTATCTTTACAATCAGATACAGAAATTCCAACAAAGAGGGCTCCTAAAACTATGCATGTCCCTGGCTCGCCCTCGGCTCATTCTCCTGTGTCCTCTCAAGCCAGAGCATTATCAGTCCATGTTCAGGAAGCAGGGGGCGTGTCGTATCAGGCAGGACTTGGGTCCGGCCTCTTCCATCATGTCCCCTCTGTCTGCCGTACCTTAAACAGAATCATTCACACACACTACCACTCCCCAAATTTATTACTTCTTTGAGATAAGGCAGAAGGCTCTCTGGGTCCCCCTCCTTCAGGATTAGCAGAATCCCCCCCCAGATTACCTATCATTAACTCACCCATGCACTTTGGACTAACAAAGGAACATGGGGAAACCAGGTCTTTTTGCTTTAGGAAAAGACAGTTCAAATCAGGGTCAGCCAATATTCACATCTGCATAGTTAAAATATACAACAGTTTCCCTCTTTTGACCTGATTAAAAAATTAGGTCACAATCCACATCGTCGTTTATCATCAATACTTGTGCTTAGTTCCGGCTTGATATCTGTGAAGAGTTAATACAGAAAGAATACAACAC